ACAATTTTCTTTGAATAATCTTAGAGATTATATTTTTAAATTAATAAAGTTAATCTATGGTTATCTTACTTTAAAATGTTGTAACAACTATGGCTTGTTATCTTTATGGTTACAGATATGATAAAAATATGAATAAAATATATTTCTTTGAATATTGATTAAATAATAACAACCTTCTTTGTGTTCTGTTTCTATTGGTCCTGACATCACATCATACTGTGTATACAAATATAAATAAATCAATTAATACCACTTTATGTAATTACAAAAAACTAACTTTAGAAAGGATTGACATTTCAGCTCCATCATGGACACATTCTCAAGATCAAGTGAACTAAAACATAAAACAACCAAAGTATAGGTAACAAGGAGATTACAAACATTTACCTGATTAACTCCTACATTTACATAAAACTAGAGAAAGTTACTAGCTTAATCATGAAATGATTAAATGATGATAAAATAATTTACAATTTATATGTTCAATAGACAATTAGTATATTTATTTAATCAATAAATTTTACTTCATTCCCAAGTTAAGGTGCGCTCCGTGAGACATATCCAAACAGGAATTTAAATAGAATAGTGGAAAATGAGTCTGGTTTCTGTTTACTCAATGTTTTTGACACTTTTTCATACCCTAAATGTTTTGATACTGTTCTATTTTTTAAGGATGGACCACCCTCATAAAATATTGTTGAAATAAAAAAATGAAAATAAATTAGTTGCTCATTTTATAGTTAAGTTTGTTTCATGATGTGTGAAAAACACATACAGACTCGTGTTGTCTTTACCTCTAGTGTGATAGATGATTTTCCTTTTCTCCTTTTTTTGCTGAATGGAGAGAACACATGCCTAATTAATTTCTGGGTTCTCGTTGTTTTAGGCACGTGTGCTGGTGCTGGTAGAGGTGCTGGTTGAGGTGCTGGTAGAGTGGCTGGTTGAGGTGCTGATTCTGGTGCTGGTTGAAGTGCCGGTTCTGCTGCTGGTAGAGGTGAAGGTTCTGGTTGAGGTGCTGGATCTAGTGCTGGTGGAGGTGTCGATTCAACTCCCTCTGTTTGATTACCTTTCAGTTTTAATTTCTCAGCAACTCTACCTTCTAATTCATGATCATATATCAGCTTAATCCGTTCACACTCTATAAAGATTTAAAATAACAGTGAAATTCATCAAAGCTCAAGTAATAACAAATAACAAAAGGATTTAAAGTTATATTGTTTCTTGTCTTACCATCCATGTCCTCAGTTTCTTTCCACTTACAACCAACATTAGTAGTTTGGAAAGCAGTAGTCAAAACAATTCCATCGGTTGATGGTTCTGCTTCATTAAATCTGTGGAAATAACAGTTTAACACAAATTAGCATTACAAATTGTGTATGTGGGTCGAGTCGAGTGGCCGAGTGGTAAGACAGGGGCGCTGCTAGCTACAGCTTTAACATCAGCGCTGATTCCAGCCGCTCCTCGTTTATGGTTCGGTTGGACGTAGAACCAAGTCTTCTCGGATAAGGACTTAAAATGGAGGTCCAGTGTATACATCTGGCTCGTGTGCACTTTAAAGAACCCATTGCATCTTTTGGAGGAGTAGGGGGTTACCCTGATGTTATGGTTCATT